TTGAAATCCTGAGCAATTTCTCTAACCAATCTTTGGAATGGAAGTTTCCTGATCAGAAGCTCTGTGCTCTTCTGATACTTCCTGATCTCTCTTAAAGCAACGGTTCCTGGACGAAATCTGTGAGGCTTCTTCACTCCTCCGGTGGCCGGAGCAGATTTCCGAGCGGCTTTGGTTGCGAGTTGTTTCCTTGGAGCTTTGCCTCCCGTGGATTTGCGAGCGGTTTGTTTGGTACGTGCCATTTCGATTGGAGAGAGAAAAAGAAGTGCTTGTTTGATTGTTAATTTAGTTGGGAATTTGAGATGAGAGGGTAGGTAGTGTTTGGGTAATATATATTGGATGAGAAATGAGGATAGAGCGGGAATTGGAAAAAGAAAATAGAAAATTTTGAGAGATGGTGATCGTTGATTAGAGTGGATATCTACGGTTGTAAGTCTCTAGGGGAAGGATATTGGGATCGCGATCCGTGGAATTTGTATCCAACCAATACGATTATTTCTTAATATTGTTTTTTACTTTATTTATTTTCGATAAAAATAGAAAAGAGCATTATATTGTACTCAACTCACATTCTTTATGAGAAATGATATTTCTAAAACATACTTTTACATCTACTACCGTAATATCATAATAATATTTTTTTTAATAAAGGATATTGATATAAATTTGCGTAATTAATCAATTTTTTACATTAAATTAACCAACTTTAATTATTATTAAAAATTATTTTTAATATCTGAATGTATATTAGCCAACTTTATTAACCAATTTTTTACATTGTATCAACCAACTTTGATTATTGTTAAAAATCATTTTTTATATCTGAACGTTTATTAACCAATTTCATTACTTTATTTATCAACTTTTTACATTTCATTAACCAATTTTGTTTCATTACTTAAACTAACTGTTTATGGACACTGTTCACGAACATTGTTCAAACATTGTTCATGTACTGTTTAAACATTATTCATGTACTGTTCAAAAAAAATATTTTTTTATTTGAAAATACTGTTCACCATATAAATACGGTGAACAGTGTATATCGTGTAGGTATTGGTGTAGAAAAAAGGTGTATGAATAGCAATGCTGCTATTTTATAGGATGTTGACGCTGAATTTTCTTGGCTTTTAAACATTATACATGAATCTAACTGATTAATGAATAAAAATTAGGGATGTAAAAAGGAATGGATTTGATGAATATGAATTGAATTTTTAATTGATGGATCAAAATAATTCATTAGTTCATTAATAATCTACTAAAATTTTCTCAAAAATATTCAATCAAATTCCTTTATTTGTGATAGAATTCATTCAATTCATCTATTAACATATTTTTAGATGATGGATATTCATTCAAAAAAAATGTTTATTTATTGAAAAAATCAGTTTTTTTATATTTTTGAAAAAAATATATCACTTTTTTTAAAAAAATCAATTATTATTATTTTTAAATAGATATAATGAATATAAAAATAATCGATTAGATCGTTAAAATATGTTGGATGGATTAAATTAATCTAAATACATAAATTGATGGATTTAGTTCAATCCATTAACTTACTTATTATGGGGTGGATGAATTGGATAGATTTTTTAGTAGATTTGTTTGATAGATTTTTTCGTAATAGATCAAATTACCACTATGTTAATTGGGAATTTTAACCAATAAAAGAAATTCAGCAAATAAGGGAAGGTTGGAAAGAAATACTTTAACAGGAATTTGGCAAAGATACCATCATGTTATGTTGCAGAGGAGGTGTATACCTCTGAAAAGGACTCAACTTACTCTTTGAACTTACACCCAAATTATGGATTCATTTAGGACAAAGAGTAGGTCAAGAATGAACCTGTTGAAGAGGGAAATCTACCCCCTACTGGGTGGACAATGGTAGACGAAAATGTCTGTTGAGCCACAAGCATTGGCTCAGATTTCGGTCTATAAGGATAAAAATAGGATAAAATCGGCTCTGTCACGATGAGAATCGGATATCAAGCTATTAGTTAACTTGAATCACAAATCTTAGTTCACCACCGATCTTTAATTTATCCAAGGGAAAGGAAAAAGAACGAATAAACCCAAAATATGCAAAGCAAGAGAGAATCTAAGGTTCGGGGGTTGGATATACCTAGTGAAGTTGCTAGTATCCTAAGTATTTGTAGTACTCTACAGGAACCTGATGAAAAGGTAAATGGAGACCTAAGGTGTTATTTCTAAGTATGCTCACCAAGACATCGCATCTCGTGCCTACGTATCCTAACGAGAATGGAATCATAGCATTCGTAGTTCCCCTTAAAGGATAAACAATGTAAAGGAAAAGGTAATAGGAGAAGAAACTAGTCGTCGTCTTAAGGAGAATACTCAACTTAAACCACCACAAACATGTGGAAGACGGACCTTTGCTTCGCATTGAGAGAAAGGCCCCAACTCGGATATATAATCGACGAGTATGGCACATACCTCTCTGAAGCGGAAAAAATCTATATCTTTCTCACTATGTTATGGAGTAGGAGAATTATATCTCGACTAGGGATGACTAGTGTCTAATTCTCTTTGTGGGAGAATGAGGCTTAATCTGTAAGTTGTCTAAAGTTAAAATCCGTAGAGAAACTAGCCTAAGGATACAAGTAGTAGGTTCATCGTAAGGTGATCAACCTAAGGGGAAGCAGGGATCAAGCAAAGAATAAGCGATGTAGATGAATAAAAAGGCCCATGACTATAAAGTTAAAAACAGGTCATTCCCTTGGGTTTAGACAAAAGCGATAATCATGAAGATTTAAATGTCACTAGTAAAAAATCAACAAGACAAGCATCAAGATCATGGACAAATAACAACATATGTACAAAGCGAGGATCAAGACACGTAATCAGCTCATAAGGTGAGACATCAAGAATAGACATAATCAATTAATCAAAACAACATAAATGAATTGAATTTTAATCATGTGCACTAGCAAAGTGGACTAGTCTGCTAAACGACCAATTAAAGGTAATTGATCGAATAGGTCTCACTGTAAGAAAGCCCAGGAGTAAGCTATGAATGTTGTGTATGGTGACCATGAGGTTGATGACGTCGCACGAGGCAATCGACTTACAAGGGTGTAAAATGGCTCGACGTTGGATCGATAATTTATTTTTGAAAAAAGGTTTAATTGGTGCAATGGCAAGACATTTATAAACAAAATAAAGGAAAGCGATAAAGTTATTACACGTCATGGGAATTGGGGTACATTTTGTCGAATGGGAATAATAGATAATGAAAAAATTAAATCGAACCCAATTGAATGAGTACTCATTGTAAGAAGGCCTAAGAGTAAGTCATTGTACATAAACCAACTGAAATTGAAAGGCAACTGAATATAGCTCTAAGCTAACTTAATCTAGACTCATGTATGAATCCCTTTATAAGAAGTCGGGCAAAAATCTATGCGTCCAAGTAATTTTCAAAAGTTAAATTAGATTTTAACTCTGAAATTGCAACGCAATGATAAATCAAACGGTAAATCAAGTATATTATCATTACAACAATATTACAATTTTTATATCAACTCAAAATAATCGAAATAAAAAAACAGAAGGCTAACACGACACACACATACTATTCACAAGAATCCATATTACTACAAAATCGACATAAAGCTAAAATAAAATGAAATGTAAAAATGAAAAAAAAAAACAAATCATGACACTAAAACAAGAGAAATGAATTAAAACAAAAACAATATATATATATATATATATATATATATATATATATATATATATATATATATATATATATATATATATATATATATATATATATATATATCAAGAAAATTCAAACTTGTTATTTAAAGGTGTGATTACAAAAGAAACTGAAATCTCTTTATATAGGGAAGAAAAGACTTACTATTTAAGTCGGTAACCGCTACTTACAATAGTCGGTAAACTAAAACACAACTTGTATAATTATTGTCGGGTACTTTTTGGGCCCCATCGACACAACAATTAACAAGAAACCAAAAACTTTAACAAAAGAAGTAAAATGCATGCCTAGAAATTCCAAAGACAGGATAAGATTCTTATTCCCTTGTCTTTTACAAAAGAAAGAAAATGCATGCAATTATGCCTAGAAATTTTAAAGACAAGATAAGATTCCCTCTTTTACTTTTGTCAAGATTCTTCTTCTATTATTTCTTGTCCTTTAGCCTTTGTCCATTGATTCTTTTTCCATTGTTTCTAGACAAGATAATAATTTAATTTTTTGCTTTCCGTTTTACTTTCATAGATTGAATCATTGCATCCAAGAAATCTTCTGCAGTAGGTTTATCTGCTTGACCTTCTCCTGCCAAACCATCAAAGTTATGTGAATCCATTGATCCCATGAAAGAGCGTATCTTCATAGATGAATCTTCATCTTTTGATGCTTTTGTTGAAAAAGTAGAGAAGAATTGGCTCTTCATAGGATCCAAAATTCTAACCATGATTTCATCTTCTTATTCATTGAGATATTTCCTCTGGAAGAAGTTCTTCAAGTTTTCCATAGACATTTGTTGGGAGCTTTGCTCCTTGACCTTATTATTCTGGTCTTCAGCTATAACTTCTTGAATTAATTTTATTTTATTCTGGACATCCTCTGAACTCATCTTGCTCCACCATTTATAGAAGAAATTTCTTTCTAAAATGGGAATATTGAATTTGTTTTTTGATATGGTGATTGACCATCTCCATATCCATGGAATCTGAAATTTAGTAAAGAACAAGAATGGACATTGTCCAGTGATCAAATTATCAGATAAATTTTTTACAATAAGTGGACTATTATCACACCATGGATTGTATAAGTTAAGAATTTCTTTAGGAAGAATCTCCAAAGATGGACCAAATTTATCCCACCATTCATAAAACCAACTTGGTATGGCTTTATTAACCATCTCTTGATTAATACAGAAAAACCAAGAATGCTTGTTCTTGGGATTTTGGTAATAAAAAGCTTGAGTGAAAGCTTGGGCATAGTCTCAGTAATTAAAGTAAATATACTTTCCTTCTGAAATTCTTATTGCCTTTTCAGCATTTGGGTTGAGACCCCATTCTCTTGGTAACAAAATTTTGTTAATGTGACATTTACTGGAGTTTATAAAACTTTCAGGATTATTGTTTTGGTAATGGTGAGTAATTGTTACCAATTCGGTAACAGTCAGGAGAATTTCTAGGTTGGGCCTCGATTTTTGAAGACCTGGATATCCTCTTGATTCAAGGTATCTAGTTTTGATAGACCAACCATCATTTGGATTTATCTTCATATCTTCATCGTCAATATACATGATTTTTTCGGTTACTGGATTTTCAAAATAATCCATTTGTTCTTGAGGTGGGTTATTAACAGCAACTTCCTTGTAGGATGTAGTTTTATTAGAGGAAGAGGAAGCAATATCTTCCTTTTTTGTAGAAGATACAGGTAATTGCTGCATTTTTCTACCTTTGTAGACAGTAGTCCAATTTCCTATGTGAGGAATGTTTGATTCTGGCTGGGGTAACATATTGTTATTCCCTCTCCCACCACGACCATAACCGCGACTTCTACCCCTATATGGGGTCATCATTTTTTCCCTGCAGAAATTGACGAGTTAAATAATCAGCAAGTGAATTATTTTCACCTTTAATGTGTTGAATATCAAATTCAAACATAGATAATTGCGATTGTCAACTAGCAAAAATTTGCTTAGCAACAAGATTTTTAACATATTTTTCAATAATTGATTTATCTGAGCTACAATCAATTTTTAATAAAAAAAATTATTAAGAAGATCATCTTAAAATTTTGAAGTGCATTTTATAATAGAAAGCATCTCTTTCTTGATAGTTGAATATTTTGCTTGTGTTGGATTTCATTTTCCAGAAGTAAATCTAACCAAAACTTCTTTTAATGTTTCAGGTATTATTTGTTTAAGAATTCCTCCATAGCCTAAGTCTGAAGCATCAGTTTCCACAATTTTGAAATACTTAGGATTAGCAAGAGATAAACAAGGCAAACATTTCACCTTATTTTTAATTCTTTGGACTGCCTGAGAATGTTTTTCAGTCCAAGGGCCAGGATTCTTTTTAAGCCTAGCATGTAATATTGTTGTATCTTTAGCAAGATTTTCATAATAATCTGCTATGTAATTGAGGCTACCAAGAAACCTTTGTAATTGTTTCTTATCTATAATAATATCAGGGAATTCAGAAGCAAATTCAGTACTTCTTTATATAGGAATTATAGTTCCTTGGTCAATTTCATGTCCTAAAAATCTAACCCTTGTTTGAAAAAGTTTCATCTTAGGACCAGATATTACTAATCCATTATGCCTAATTAATCATTTGAATATTTTCAAATGTTTAATATGTTGATCTATAGTTTTTGAAAAAACTAAAACATCATTAATATAAACAATTATAAATTCCGTATAAGAATTAAAAATATCATTCATAATATTTTGAAATTCATAAGGGGCATTTTTAAGACCAAAAGGAAGGACATTCCATTCATAATGTCTAAAAGGTACGGTAAAGGTTGTTTTATACTTATCAGATTCATTAATTTGAATTTGCCAATAACCAGATTTCATATCAAATTTAGAGAAGATTAAAGCATTGTTTAATCTATCTAAAAGATCTTTTTCATTAGGAATAGGATATCTAATCCATTTTAACATTTTATTAAGTGGTTTGTAATTTATAACAAGTCTAGGGACTCCACGTTCCCTTTCGGCGGCATTATTAACATAAAAAGGTGTGCAACTCCAAGGAGATTTGGACTTTCTTATTAATTTTTTCTCTAAAAGAGATTTTATCTCTTTTTTGCATAAATCCAAATACTCGTAGTTCATTTGAGCAGACCTAACTTTAGTGGGAATCTGACTTTCATTAAAGTCATCAAGATAAGGTAAGGAAATCACATGTTTCTTTCTATCCCAAAAGGCATTAGGTAAATCATTGCATATTTCATCTCTAAACTGTTGATCAATTAATTTAATTTGATTTTGAATTTCAGGTTTTTTAAGTTGAGAAGTGATGTTTAATAAACTCACATCTTCCTTAAGAAAACAAATTTGTTTTTCTTTTTTAAGAAGAATATCGTTAACTTCATTAATCATCCTAGTATGAGGATCAGTAATAAATTCAAAGGTAATTCTTTTATTATTGATGATGGAAGTAATTCCCTTTTGATCAACATTAATCGAAGGCATTATTTTATGCAGAAAGGGAGTTCCTAATATAATTCTATGAGTTAAATTTTTTATAAGAATGAAATGAGTAGGTAAATAAATATCTTTGTTACAAACATAAGCATTAGACAGTTTACAATTAACCGTGAGTTTATCTCCTCCAGCTTGGGTAAGAGATTAGGTAGTTTTATCAAAATATTTAGTAGGAATAATTCCCTCTTGAAGGCAGTTTAAATCAGCGCCACTATCAATAAGGGCAACTTCATTTTCTAATATGAAATTTCTATTAATAACTAAAGTTATTCTAACAAACCATTTTTGAGAGGTCACTCTATCAATGAGAGAAAGGAAATCATCACTAGGTGAATGATTACTAGTTGAAGATATTTCTTCCACCTTTGAATTATTGGATTCTACAAAAGTGACTCTTTGAGATAAACCATAGTTTTCTTTTTTAATCTGAGATATCTCATTTTTAAGAGGTTTATTTCTCTATTTAAATCCATAATAGAAACGGGAGTTTCATGGATGTTAGACTGTCTAAACCTAGACAAAACCTCACTTAATTGGTAAGGTGCTTCTGTAATAATGGGAAACTCTTTTTTAGAGTTTTCTTGTATTAAGACTTCAAGCATTTTTCTTTTTAGTTTTTTATCAGAAATGGACTTTATAGCTTTTATGGCTTCGTCCCGTTCTGAGGTTAAAACATTTAACTAATTCATCTCAACAATTGATTTCCAATAATCTAATTGACTACATTGACAATTATCACAAAACCGTCCTTATTCCTGGATTGCGACGGTTGTCACGACAGTTAGGGTCAACTGTCGTAAATTTTTTACGACAGTTATTAAAAAACCGTCATTATTCCTGGACCACGACAGTTCTCACGATGGTTTAAGCTAACCGTCGCAAATTTTCTAGGCATGTTGTATAAAATAATGTGACAGTTACCAAAGAACTGTCCTCTTTCCACACTCGCGACAGTTAAGGCAAACTGTCGCAATTACTTTACCCAATCATAATCACTATTTTTTTTATTCCTTTAATTTTCCACTTTTTTCTTTCATTCTTATTTTCTGAACTTTTCAATTTTATTAATTAATTTAATAAATAATTATTATGACAATGTAGCTTAATATTTTTATCTAAAATAATAGTAAAATATTTTATGTTTTATTATATAAATAATTAACTTTTATTAAAAGTAATTTTGGGAATAATGTTTATATATATATATATATATATATATATATATATATATATATATATATATATGTGTGTGTGTGTGTGTGTGTGTGTGTGTGTGTGTGTGTGTGTGTGTGTGTGTGTGTGTGTGTGTGTGTGTGTGTTTTATGAAGATTATAAATACATTACAAATTATAAATTATAACATTTTTTTAAATATTTTTTTAAATTATATATTACAAATTATAAATTATAGATTAAAAACATGTTTAAGCTTTAAAAAAATATTTAAAAATATGTTATAATTTATAATTTGTAATGTATTTATAATCTTCATAAAACATTTATATATATATATATATATATATATATATATATATATATATATATATATATATATATATATATATATATATATATATATATATATATATATATATATATATATATATATATATATATATATATATATATATATATATATATATATATATATATATATATATATATATATATATATATATATATATATATATATATATATATGTTTTATGAAGATTATAAATACATTACAAATTACAAATTATAGATTAAAAACATGTTTAAGCTTTAAAAAAATATTTAAAAAAATGTTGTGGATCCTACGGTTTTCGAAAAATCCTAAACTCAACCTTCTTCAATTCCTTTTTAATGATTTCTTCTTCAATTTAACCTCAAAATCCCTCGGCATCTTTCAATTTTCTGATCTTCTCTTTCTCTCAAATTTTGTCACAAAACCCCTTCATGAATGTATCAGTGAAGACAGAATCGAAATCCACAGTAGTTTTAATTTGTGTAATGGTAAGTAGGGACGACGACGAGTCAGGTGATGGTTTGAAGAGTGAGTTTCGAGAGGTGGGGATGGTCAAGCGGTTTTAATTCGTGTAATGGTCAAGTGATTTTTCTATTGTTGCTACACTTTGTAATCTTCTTATTGGATGAGATGGTTCAAACGTTGTAGGTTTAACTCTTATTTACTTATATACTAGTGTTTTTAGTTTAAAATGTTGTTTTTCTACATCTATCAAAATCACAAGCTCATATATGGTTATAGATGCTTCCCAATCATTTATATCACAACCCTAATTCTGATTTGTTATAGATAATGGCTAATTTATATATGGAGCGTAGTGTTTAAAGTCTACACCGTAAACCATAATCTTTCAGATAATACTCAATAATCACAACAGCTTTACAATCTAATAACAGTTATCGTGTTCATTGTTTGTGTTTATTGTTTTCTGCAGGGGTTTGTTGTGGGGGGCTGCTCAAACTTTCCATTCAGGTGAATGTTACATGAACATCATTTTAATCTGTTGAGTTTTATGAAAGGACACACGCAGAAAGGTATGTTAACTGATCTTGTTTGTAAAAAGCTTAATTTTTTTTTTGCAGAAACCGCTTTTTTGTTTCTGATATCTGATAATGAAACCATTCATTCTTACTATTAAATTCCATGTTGTTGCAGTTAAAAAATATCATTAACAGCGAAAGCGCCGCAGGACAATATCTGTCAATGTACAAGGAAGTAAGGTTCTATTGTACGACGCCAGTTTAAGCTTTTCTAGTTTGATGGACAATAATAACGTATCGACGACACTTTGTTTTGAAGTTAAGTCACGCAAAAATGTTGTTGGGAAGTTGGTGAGGACTAAACACACACAACATGTCTCTTTCTCAGTAGCTATTAACCCCAACAGCAACAAATCCATCAAACTTAAAGAGATTGAATGTAAATGCATCTAAGTGATTTTGGCCTAACATTAGGTGCTTTCTTGAAAATTAATTAACATGTTGGCATGACATGATAATAGACAAGACATTGGTAAATTTCAGTAGCTCTTTATTTTTGAATGGTGTACGTTAAATGCCTAAATGCTTATGATTGCAATTTTTTTTCATTTTCAGATACTAACTCTGTGGTACAGAGCTCTTAAAGTTGTTTTAGTTGCTACCCATTACTCAATGGCAGTGGATATATGATCTATTTCGTGCATATTTGGTAAGGATTTATGTTACTAAACCAAGTTAAATGTTATTTCATATTATTGTTCATGTGAAATTGAGAGAAGCTTTTGAAGTTGATCTTCATCAAGGACAAACACTCACTTCTTCTGCAAAAATCAAATTGCAACTTTTTCCAGCAAATGAAGAAATTCGAACAGGAC